TGAGCTTTTGTTGTTTTTTAGCTGAAAGGCCTGGCCCCGAGGAAATTTCACTTTGCATCACTATAGGAGCCACATCAACTTTCTCAGTGACTAGTTTGTTTCTCTTTTAAGAGGACTGCCATCCTGTCCCACTTTCCTTGTGGTTGGTTCCTCACGTAGCTCGATCCTTTGCTTGTTCTGTTCTTGTAGTGCTGGTAGGATTTAATGGTTGGTTCTGGATTTTATGTTAAATCTTTATACAAGAATGCTGTGTTTTAAAATATACACATGGTAGAGCCAGGTGCAGCAGCACTGCTGGAAACCCCGACTGTTAGCAGAATGAGGCAGGAGGATCGTGAGTTCGAGGCCAGCCCAGGCCACCTCATGAAACCCTGCCTCAAAAAACATGTATCTGTACACGCACAGGGCGTATCGCTTGCCCAAGGGGGATAGAAAAACTACTTCATGACTGCCCGAGTTTCTTTGATGACCAGATTCTAGTTTCACGTTATGAGAACAGTCATTTTCTTCTGCGGCCAGAGCCAGCTCTGCTCAGAGAGCACTTGCAGGCCTGAGAGGGTCAGGCCAGCCCAGGCCACGCACAGCTTCTCGCGGGCGGCACAGCTTCTCGCCGACAGCGTGGCAGAGGGGCCACACCAGGACTTGCTATGGGGACTGCTCTTTATTTAGCGCTTACTTTGTGCCAAACACTGAGTGAAGTGCTTTTTCGTAAATTTCCTCCTCACAGCATCTCTAGAAAGTGAGGCATGATCTCCATTTTATAGAACAGGACTTTCGCAGTGTAGAAATGTCCCTTCTCGGGGTGGAAGATCGTGGTTCTTTGACGTGCTTGCCATTCCGTGTTAAGCCCTCATACTGTTTTAATTAAAACGATCATCCGAGATTCTGCTCTCGCTCTCCGTCACAGCCTCCTAGGTTAGTGTTTAACATCCCTCAAATAGGTGCTAACTTTACACGCACCAAATTAAGTTGATTCACACAGCAACTGAAACGGTCCCGTCTGTTCACTTTGTGTCACTAATTCGTGTTACTTTTCCCTCCACCAGCAATCAAAATACAAAGTTATCAACAAAGACCAGTGGTGCAATGTGCTGGA